TTTCCCACTGTTATTAACTCTAGTAAGTGATTGTAATTTTAATTGTAATTTTAATTTCAATTAATTACAATGCTTCAAAGAAATTTATTGGAAAAATCGCAAAAACTGACCACTTTAAAAAAAAATAAAATGTTAAATTTTTAAATTTAATCTGGGTCTTCAAATTATATTATAAAAAAATTAAAGCAATGTAAAAAATCGCATAGAGCATACGTTGAATCCATGAATGACATACTAGGGTTAATTACGCTGACTTCACAGCTCTTTCTTTCACAATTTTATTTGAAAGAACGGTGGCAGTTTAGAGTTAAAATTTGTCTATGATGAATACGTATGAAATCGGTTAATCTTTATAGATTTGGACGTGTTGAATTCGAAGAAAGAAAATTGTTTTCATAAAATTTTTCGGAAGAACTTTCAAGAATTTTAAGCTTATAGTATGTCTTGTCTAGAATCTAATCGTTTCATTAAGTCATGTGACAATATATTTGTTATGTGTCAGTCTGAATTTTATTCTTTATACTTTATTATTATTTAGCTATAGATTCATAACTATGAGGCCACGTACTAAGCTATGCCATTATGAGCTTTCCTCGAGCTGAGTTCAAATTAATTAATTGCAAAGCAGAAAAATTGCATTTTCATAAAGTTCTCCGGTCTTTGGAGAATTTTAAGCTTTACATTCAAGTTCAGCAAATATTCATCCAATATCCAATATCGTCCAAATATATATTTATAAAGATTGACCGATTTCATATGTTTTTATCACAGGCAAATTTTGGCCCTAAATTGCCATTGTTCTTTGAAAAGTGCTTTTTTTATTGTTTAACTTATTTTAATTTTCTCATATTTAATTGCAGAAATTTAAATAACAAATATCTATTGCGCGAAACAAAGAAGTAAGAAATATACATCGCCTTAACCCAGTAGCTGTCATCCTCATTTGTGGACCAGCGACTTTTTATTTTTTTTTTATCGTTAATAATAATTTTTATTATTAATTATTTTTATTTTTAATTAACTAATAATAACTTTTTATATCATCAGTCAAACATAAAAAATGAAAGTGTGACAGTTAATAGGTTAATAATAATAAGAATTCTCCGTTCGCGATAGCGACGCAAATGTGTTGTAAAGTAATCGACGAGACTATTATATCTCATCGGTGGTAAAGTCGAACATGCATTCATACCCCTAACGAAAATACGATCTTTATAAAACGTTTACAATGTTCGATGACGATTTTTTAAGAGTTATATGTTTTCAAACTTTAAGAACGCTTACAGAACATTATTGGGTTTTAAACACTTTCAGAACGCTTATAAAATACAGTATATATTGTTTCATAAAAGTTCTGCTAAAGTAATGCTTTTCAAAGGAAAAGCTGCTCAGTAAACGCTGATGCATCTTCATGCAGAGAATTCACTGTCAGATTTTTCAAACATTTAGTAAACGCTTTTCTCAATACCGTGAGACAAGCATTTTTCTTCCGTTCAACAAACGCTGTTCCAATGTGGAATTATTGAATCTCAATAAACGTTTTGTAAGGCTTTTATGCAAATGGTTTAAAGACGCCCAAAAAACATTTTCCTCAATTCTATACAAATGCTCATGTAAACGTTAAACAAACATTTATAAAACTTCTCATTTTCGTTAGGGTCGACTTTCGCATTACCACCGAGGTCACTCGCTAGGTCTTCGACTTCAGTCTTTCGGACGTTAGGTAATACGTTTCGCTTGTGTCGATGTAGTTATATAGTAATAGCAGATGTTGTTATATTAATGCCGCGCATAAAACACGTACACAAAATACAATATGTGTATTTTCAGTTTTGTATACGTGTTTTACGCGTGGCATTAATGCAATTAGTAATTGTCTCTTAGAGGATACCCTAAGGTCCCGGAAAGAAATTAGGGGGTCTGGCAGTGTCCGGGGAGATTTCGGAGAGCTGTATGTCAATGGGGACGCGTGTGTCGTACAAGGACGGCGCCTGTAGTATAATCCCGGCCGAGCCGACGATTACGGTTACCAGGAAGATCCATAGGAATAATCTGTCGATCACCATTGCGACATACTTCCAATCGTCCTTGATCTACGGTTGAATTCATAAGTGATAATCAAGAATTTAAAGTATTTCATACACGGAAAAAAACGTTTTGCGTTTTAAGTATATCAAAATTAAACGCCAAATATATATCTAAAAATAATTGTGATGCTCAAGCACAATAATAATGTTGTAAAAACATTTTGACATTTTGGCAAGCAATTTAAGTATCTAACATAATTATTTTTAGATCTATATCTGGCCTAATTTAATAAATTTATTGTTTTCAGCAAAATCGTTTGTTTCATGTATATTTTCTAAAGCTGCGCGAAGCAGTGAATTTATGAATATATAAAAGAAATACATACTGTATATTGAATTTTCTCCTATTCTGAAATGTATTTTGATTTTATGACGAAAATTACCTAATATTTTCATTTACATCATTTCATTACAACATACGTTTTTTTTTCGTATGATATAAAGAAGGGAGCTAATATTCAAATATTGTATAATTCGAAACTCAAATTGTATTAAAAATATTTATTAAATAATATCTAGCATAAATCTAAAAAAATATAAACCTCATAAAGAGAAAATTTCTAGAAAATTTCTTAATTTTGGGATTTTTTAAACATTCTAATTTTTTTTTAAATATCCTATTTATTATATAAATATCTTATAAAGATCTTTTTTAAATTGCGTTATGTTATATATATTAAAATATTGTGTTATGTTATATATATTAAAATATTGTGTTGTTATCTAAGTTATGTAAAATTATAATTACTCTATTAGAATCCTCTTCTTTCTTTACATGATCGGCGATATAGCGGATGCCTTCTATGGCCCTATGTATTTCTGGGCACTGATGCCAACTCTTAAGTGTGCTACAGATTCGGTTGACGCTCTCCCCTGTTAGAAGTTGCGACGGTGGTGTAGGTGTCGCTTGCGGACCGTGGATACGGCACGTGCTTTCTAAATTTATTTCTTCCAATCCCCTAAGCAGATAATACAGTCACAAAAGAGATGACCATAAATAAATATGTATACAATCAAAAAAAACGTAAGAAAATGAATCGAAGAAATATACATATATGTTACGCAAAAATATCCAGCTTAAAAAGTTTTAAAGCAGCTAAAAATATATAGTTAATATTAAGTCTAAAAAACATGAAAATATAGTGTATTTATCTTAGATATTTTCGATATTTTTTACACCATTGAATTTTTATTTACATTTTATACGTTTTTGATATTTATTAATTTTTTGACATTTATCTTTTTTATTATTTGTAGTACTGATTTGTCACAAAACATCATCAAAATATGTCAGTAAAATGTATTGTAAAATTAAATTACACGGAAACAAGTTTGTTGAAGTATTTAAAAATTTAACTATATACGTATAGATTAGGTTAGGGATAGGTTAGGTTAGATTAGCATAGGGGAAAGTTGCCTACATCGTACCTCTTAATGTTTAAACAAAATTATAACAAAAACACTGAAGAGATCAGAATATTTTTGTACTCATATTAAACTTTAGTTCATTGGAAATAAAACAAAACGATATTTCTACGAAAATAAATATTTTTAATTAGTTTTAATCAGATTAAAAAAAAAAGTAGTTTTCGATACGATTTAGAGACCGAGTCATTAAATTGTATCACTGGGTCCTAAATCATACTTCTAATCTAGCAAACAAACTGACATTATCTTTATTATCATTTTGACAAAATAACATTTTTAAATAACGGCAAATTGACGTCAGCTTGTTCATTGGGAAGATAAACAAAAATTAATTTAAAAACTCATTTATTAATACATTTATTTTTATTTTCAAACTAGTATAATATTCGCGCATAACAAGAATAGAACAGCCTTTCGTTTTAAGTGAAAACGCGTTAAATAAATTCACCTAATTTCATTAAAATTGGATGTGAGATAGTGGTTCTAAATAAACATCGACTAAAATACATGTAGGTACATAGCACTGCATTAAGTTGGTATAACAGATATTCCCTTACCTTAACAGTTGTTAACTTTAACGCTTAATATCTTGCTTCGCAGTCCCGCAATTTTTCGACCAGGTTTTTCATTTTGTACAAAAACGCATCGAATGGATTTAATTTCATCGAAATTGGATAATTACCATCAAAGCAGTAATTAAAACCTTATTCTTTGGAGACCTTATATTCTTCAATTTTTACGTTATAGGTTTTTTAATAATTTTTTACGTCCGATGCTAATCAAACGTAACTTAACAATGCATATAAGTCACGAGTAGATTATGGAAACTTGCTTGCATATCGTTACAATATAAAGACCAGCGACAAGTATGATTTACTCAACTTTTTCTATTTTTATGTATTTGCAAATAGCAACATAAATATTTTGCAAATTTGATGCTACAAAAAGAGTTTAAATATCATTTACAACGCTGTAGTATATTATAATTCAATTACTCACCTTGTACTGATAGCACCTTAGATAAATTGTTACAAAAGCTTAGATCAGACACTGAACAAAATCAATTTTGAATGTCACTCGTAAACAGATGGGTTAAAGATAAAATAAAAATGACAGTTCTTAAGCCATATTATTAGCGTCATCACCTTTAAAAAAGAATGTTTTGTTTAGAAAATACAATGGAGGTACGATTTAACCGTTGGTACGACTTAGCCAACTCTATATATATATACACATACAGATTTGAAAATAATTTTGTTAGACATAATAATTATGTAGAATGTTGATAACAATGCTGCAAAAGGTATCATTGTAGAAACTAGTTTGAGCTTTCTATATTGAGGGTAATCATTTAATATAATCGTGAGGAAACAGTGTCCCCAAAATCATTATAAAATTTATATGAAATCCTCATGTATAATCCGATAATTACATATGCAATCACGAAAAATCATAGTGTAACATTAGATAAAATCGTGGTAAAATTTATTTTACCAAATAACTTCGTATGTAGTGAAGAAAATTATTTGTAATCAGAAATCGTATAAAATCAGATAAAATCATGTAATCTGTGAAACAATATTTTAGCTAGTTATCCCCTCCTTTTATATAATTATTTTGATGGTTTAAAGAAAATTATTTTCAAATCTGTATTTATATATATAT